CGTGCTGCGGGGCCCCTCTCGGTAGCCCAGTACATGCGGGAGGCGCTCACCCACCCCGCGCAGGTGTGTGTGTGTCCGTGTGCGTGTGCATGTTACGTGTGCACGCCTAAGTAAGAGGGCAAGGGGGATTTGCACCTTACTGACTGACCCAAGGAGAAAGATACGTCACACGCACACAGAGCACAGGCTTCTGCGAGTTGGCATCAGATGAAGAGAACTTCAGCTCACAAAAGCTCTGTGCGTGTGTGTGTGCACGTGCATGTCTCTGTGTGCCCGTATGCCTCTGTGTGCATGTGCGTGTGTGTATGTTCAGATGTATATATGCAAACGTCTTGTCCTCAGAGCAGAGAAGAAACAGCAGGAGAAGGAAAAGAAGAGAAATCGTAGCTTACAGCCAACCGTCCCCTGCAGAAAGACCCGCAACTTATGTGCACAGGCCTATGGCTCAAGGGTGGGACTCTTAAGTCACCTCAGGACCCATCAACAAGCCATGGCAAAGGCCTTCCTCAATGCAAGGGCTTGTAGATGATGATGGTGATATGTATGCATGCGTTTGTATATATACATGCATGTCTGCCTGTCTCTGTCTCTCTCAGATTATATGTATGTATATGTGTGCGTGTGTGTGTATGTCTTTGGTTAGTCTATGTGGTGTAAATCTCCCTGCTTTCTTACCAAAGTGCCAAACCAGAGGACTCAAGTCCAGTGAACGGGGCCACATCATCTGGCCTATAGGGCTCCCCAGCAGCAGCAGCGATTTACACTGCCGCTGCTCCCCTGCCACCAAATGTCCAAGCCTGTGTGGGGCCCCACATTGCTGGCCTGGCTGGTTCTACATGTCACTCATATGGGTCAGCCACCCCCGATCATGAGAAGTTGTCCAGTCTGGCCCCAAGATACCTTCCTCTAACAGCGTGTGGGGGGAGGGAGTGGTTTGCACTATGGCTGCATAACTTTGGGCATCTCACCAGGAAAGTGGCCAGATTGGTAACATTGCAACTGGTGAAAGCACAACCCCTGCCCCCACCTCCACACACCCCATCTCACATTGAATCATAACAAATGAGGTTTGGAAAGGACCTCAGGTGGTTGTCTGGTTCAACCCCCTGCTCTAACCAGGACTACCCCCAAATAGATCATTCAAGCCATTTCATTCCATCATGCCATCTTCCTACCTAGTGCCATTGTCCACATCTTTAAGGAAAAATGCGATGGCATGAGATGAAATACCACCATTTCCCTTGGGGAAACAGCACCCTAGAAATAGACGTATGATTGATTGGCAGATGTGGACAAAACTATGTCATTCTCTCTGAGGAAGCCTGAGAGAGGAACAGTGTTTTGCTAAGGCGATTTTTTTTTTTTTCTTACATTCAAACTGTTTCCTGTGTAAAATTTGACAAGTGGTTTTCACATAGGTTGTACTGTCATCAGCATCATTGTATCTAAAAAAAAAAGCACCTGAGGTTTAGGTTGCCTGTGGTTTACAGCCTACTTATTAAATATCTCACACGATGTGTTTCCAGCTAGCTAACCAACCACCATCTCATCCTCCACCTTGTTCATTCCAGTTGTTGAGGCAGCACTCCATTCTGTGAAGTAGTATTTGAAGAATGACTTCTTTAGATAGCCATGACGTTTATAAACTAATTCAGAACGCTGCACAGAGTGGACTGGCCTCTCCAATGGACGTGGCATCTTCATATTTTAAAGTTCTGCAGATTAGCAGTCTGAATTTCATAAGGAGCAGTTCGTCTCAGATTTCAGTGGAATCAACATGGGCAGCAGTTACACAGGCTGGTTCACTAACAAAAATCTTTTATTTTAAGTGTTTGACTTTTAACATTTGATAATTTTCCTTAAGAAATCAAATTCTTTTTTTAACTTTTCCTCGATATAAAATTTGCTTGTACATCACTCAGACCATCCTCGGTTTCCCTTAGGTGTTGAATTGTAGAGTATTTTGGATTTGCTTTGGTTTCTTCAGCATTCAAACTACTTTATTCTTGTAGCACTCTGGAAAATGATTTTGTTTTTAAAGTTGGGTTGCATAGTAAGAGCTGCACATCAGCACTCAGACAATAAAATGTTATGGTCACATCTCCCTTTTCTTTCCCT